CCCCCATTGTCTACTCCCTCTCCTTGTGTACTACTAGTAAACACATATGAATGAGCGTTGTTGAGAGAACAGACAAGATATAATTACCCTTTTACTCTGCCTCCGTTTAGGCAGAGGTAAAATTGCTATGACTTCGGATCTACTCATCTGGGTGGAATAGGGGAAGTTGTGGTGATAGTTCATAACACACACACACATGCACGCACGCACACACACACACACAAAAGTTGCTGCGATTTTGGATCTACTCATCTGGGCGGAACAGGGATATTGTGGTAAACTTTCACAACACACACACACCACCACCACCACCACCACCACCACCACTGCCATCATTATCAGCACCATCACCGCCACCATCACCGCCACCCCCACGGACGTCCTCTGTTGCAGCATCCTCTCAGTCATCTGCATCATCATCATCTTCTTCTTCCTCTTCCCCTACTTCTTCCTCTACTTCCTCATCGTCAACGCACTCATGGTCAGATCGGCCGTCACAAAGGCCCTGTCGGCCGAGGTATCCGTTGTTAGATCGATCATTACCATAGTTGCGCAGTGCGGGGCGGGGCGCACTGCGCTGCGTGCTGGAACGACAGCCCGTGCACTGTGCGCCGTGCGTTGTGCGCAGTACGCAGTGCTGTCCGCTGTGCGCAGTGCGCGCGCTGAGGGAGTTGCGCCCTGTGCGCGATAAAAAAAAAAAAAAAAAAAAAAAAAAAAAAAAAAATAGAAAAAAAAAAAAAAAAAAAAAAAAGATAGGCCCCAAGAGAGAGAGAGAGAGAGAGAGAGAGAGAAAGAGATAAGAGAGAGACAACAAAGGGTTCCCTTCTCGTCAATTTGAGGCCCCCTGCAGGTACCTCGAATGGCTTAAATGTGGAGCCATTAAGGGCCAGCTTAAATGTGGAGCCATTAAGGGCCAGCTTAAATGAGAAGGATGGCCTCGTCACGTGTGGGAGAGATGTGGGCAGACCACCAATATATGCTGTGCATTCGAGTTCAGGGCTGTAGCTCGGCAGTTATGGGTCACCAATTCAGCTAGACCCTGTTCGTGTCTCCACGTGATTCTCAGGGCCTCCCTCCACCACTCACCAAATGTATATAATATTAGTMGAATGAAGCTTCTGCTGAAACATGGAACCATACACCGCCATATGCGTCTTTTGTGCATTTGGTGAGTAGTGGAGCAGGCCCCACTGGACGTACTCGTAAGAAAACAAAAACAAGAAAAAAGAGCACAATGAATCTTCTGCTGAAACATGGAACCATACACCGCCATATGCTATGTCTTTTGTGCATTTGGTGAGTAGTGGAGCAGGCCCCACTGGACGTATNCGCCATATGCTATGTCTTTTGTGCATTTGGTGAGTAGTGGAGCAGGCCCCACTGGACGTATTCGTAAGAAAACAAAAACAAAAAAACGAGAGAGCCACGGGCATCTTCATCCTAACCCGTAACTGCCGACATGCGGACCTGAACGCCAATCTTCAGTATATATTGGTGGTCGGCTGGCAATTGAACATGCAATTTGCGACTTCTGCGAAGCTTCGCGGGGCAGGTCGTTATTAGGCGACTACCCCTTCGTGCGAACTGACCCCACTACTGTGTGGGATTTGCAGAAGGCAGCGGGGAGGACCGCTCTCATACCCCGCCTAAAACAAAAGTTGGAATGAGCCCTATTTTGTGCCTCGCCATTCGAAACTTTTCGGGGAAGGGTCTGCAGAAATCGAATTTTCAGCAGCCCTTACCCAAAAGGAAAGTTTGGGCCGTGGGCGCGGCCGGTTTGTGAACTTGCGCGGTGAGTTTAACATTTTTGCCGAGTTGGGGGCTCTAAGAAATTAGAAAACCCCTACTTGTTTTTTTTTTTTTTTTTTGGACCTAATTTTTCAAGTGCGCTGCGCTTCTGTGTGCTGTGCGGTGCGCGGCGCGACGTGCGCAAACCGTGCGCAAACCGGCGCGCCGACGTGCGCCGCAACTATGATCATGACAGATGCCTCTTCGGTGGAGACGTTCCGCGTCTCCACAACAGCCTCCAAGACAGCGGTCTTGTTTGTCGTTGAATGTTAGAGATCTTCTCCGACGACATGCTCGCAACCGTACGGAATGACATCGTCGCTTTCAGTATACACTAGTGAGGAGTAGTGCACATCGAGTCCGATACCCGCAATGCGGCGATGATTTCTTCAGTGCTGCAGGCTTACGAGTGCACCAGACACGAGGTGCAGCTACTTGCACGACTAGCAGCCGCCCTAAGTACAAGTGAGGCTGATCAGCTTCCGATTCCCACATCTGTTCTCACCCACCTGACCCGCCCCTCTCTCATCCACCTCGGCCCACTCGCCCCCCTGCCCCAAATGACAATGGCCCGTCTCCTGATTACCTGACAGAGCCCCCGGTTGAAGATCATCTCTCTCCGGAGCACATACCGGAGCCAATTGGTCAAGACCACAACGAGTCTCCGCCACCTGGGCAACCTGCAGAATTGAACGAGGACCCCCCTGCCGTAAACGGATCCCCCATGCAACCTGCGGAATCAGACAATGTCATAGCGCTACAGCGAGGGCGCTGTGCGTACTATGCCATTGATGTATGTCTCCTTGCTTACAATTGTAATCCTTATACTGTTGCTGATTTCGCAGACGTTGTTCGCTGGATAGAAGAAGAGCACCGTGCCGTCTGCCCAGACGACGACAGCGCTGCGCCTGGGGTGAACATAGAAGTCCTGGCTATGGCATTTTTGGGTAGGCGACTGCAATTCCAGCCTGCTCCGCAAAACCACGAGCCAGGCACGGATCCGATTATTCGGGCATATATCTTATATCGTCCAGGTCACTTCAGTGCTCTTACCTTTGCAGATAGTTCATGGACCCTATGGGACAATGGCGGTAGGGTGCACACAGTGGGAAATATTAACTCTTTCTATCACCAAATGCTGGAGGGTCACTCAGTCTGGCTCATCCATCAGGAACAGTATGTCGATGAGCATTTGCAAGCACTGCACCTCCCGAAGAGCAATCCTGCTGATTCTACCACAAACAGTGAAAGGACCTCTCCACAGGATGATGGCTGTGCCCTCCCGTTGTGTCGTCGCACAGGTACAGGTCAGTTGGCATGTACACGACATAGCCTCTGCTCCGAACACTATGAAGGGATGGTCGCTGCTAGCCTCTCACACGAAAATTGTGATCCCCAGTCCTGTGCTCATCCCCCCCACCCCCTGATTACTTGCCCAGCATGCCGTTGTGGCCTTGACCTGCCATGCTTAAATAACTGTGCACGTCAGCCTTCCATACTAATGACATGTCAGCAACATGCCATGTGTCGTCAATGCTTCCAGGAAGCTGTCATAGAAAGTATGTGTCTTTACTGCGTGGACTATCCCCGGCGCCATCACCCTCCACATCCTCTCCTACTTTATCACCACCAGGGCGGGCTGTTGCGGATCATATCCTGCAGCAGCTGAATGCCCTTGCGTTGGACCGATACTCCCTGTCGTTGTCTGCCCACAGAGAAGGAATACATACTGAGGAAGCCCAAGAAAGATGCTTCATGCCGTTTTGTGATGACCCGCCGGAGATTCAACTAGCATGTGGTTCACATGCCTTGTGCTGTGAGGATTATGAAGGTATAGTCCATGCGAGTTTTTGCTTCCATACGTACGATGACAGTCAGTACGGTACTCATGTACGGCACCCCGACATGTCATGTCCAATTTGTAGACGGGCTGGAACGACAATGCCTCTATGATTGCGGTTGACGTGCCTCTGTGTTCCTAGCATGTACGAGCGACGTAGCCTGTGACATCTGTCTGTGCCGTGCCATTCGATGCAGCAACTGTGACTGCGAAAATTGGATGAGGTGCTTCCATAGCCCACACCCGAACCGGTCCTGTCCGGTCTGTAGGGGTGGCCACTCAMAGCGGTGAATATTTAGAAATCTGTGAGACCCGTCATACACCTTTCCCCTTCTCTTGCATGTCACTCTATYCTGCCCTCCACATATTTCTTTCCTTCCCGTTGCCCCTACCTCCCCTGCCCCATACTCCTAGAGAACTCCGCCTTCTATCCCTTACCCTCCACCCTCCCCTCTACTCCCTTTGTACTACTAACAAATACATACGAATGAGCATCATTAAGAGTATAGACGATATGAAGATCAGCAATGAAATGAACGGAAGTATGAAGATGAAGGACAGACACAAAGGCTGTATAAGCTGAAGATCGGAAATGAAATGGACAGGAGTATGAAGCTCTGAAGAGATGCACAGGAGCATACCTACCCTTTTACTCTGCCTCCTGAAATAACGTGCAAGTGGGCCGTGGAGGCACACGGGGATGCCACAATCAACGTGGGCAGCCTTGTGCGTAAGAGGCACAGTAAAAGGGGAGCTGCAAGAACAATGAAAGGGGTACCCCAAGGACAACCAAAAAACTGTCTCATTATAAAATTGCTTTAATATGTTGGACATCTCAAATGCTCTCGTTGTCTGCAATAGGACAAAGACTGCTTTGATTCTGAATTGGGGCTGTTGTGGGGAAAATCACACACACACACACACACACACACACACACGCGCGCGCGCACACACACACACGCGCGCGCGCGCACACACACACACACGCGCGCGCACACACACACGCGCGCGCGCGCACACACACACACACACACACACANCGCGCGCGCGCACACACACACACACACACACACACACACACACACACACACACACACACACACACACACACACACACAGAGCGAGAGAGAGAGAGAGATCCACCACCCGTGGTGGGACTTAGCGTGCAAGTGATAGACAACTGGGCAAACCGCAACCTTGGGAGATTCTTTTGCGATCTGCTGCTTATGCGTGGATTGTTCCAGCTTCAAACAATTACTAGGTACTAGGCTACTAGCATTATTAGGTATTCATATATTTACCATTGCTCATGCCGATTCCTGTCATCCAGAAGTCATGATCTCATTTTCAAAGGGTAAATCTATGCTTTCAGGAGACGTTTCGTGAAGATGACAGTGAGGAACTGAGTCTTTTCAAGAAAGCTTTGGAGGAAATGCAACCTGCAGAAAATAGTCCAACACAAGATCTTGCAGACGGCATCAATTGCGCTTTACAGCAATTGAATTTTATGTCGGCAAGTGATAAAATACAGGTATGGACCGCAAGTTCATTGCCTTTCGTTTTGCGTAGCCCTGGTGCTGCCTTCTAGTAGTTCTTTTATAATGTGAATAAGACCTGCATAAATGCAAGGTGCAACCAAGTTTTGAGGCTAGTTTTGAAGTAATAAATTAATAATGGAATTTGTTGTTTTGTAATTACGGCAGCTCATGAATAATCAAGATGCTCTGCTATTTTAGTTCTTGATGGACCGTTGGTTTGCAGAGACTCCCACTTGATGATTTGAGAGACCATTGCAGTGATGACGACCATATAGGGTCCAACTGTTTTTCTTGTGCCTGTGGGAGGGTTCCTTGGGAAACTTCCTTGCGAGAAAGATCCCGTTTGCTCTTGGGGAACCTGACGAGTTTATCCCACCACATGAGTCAGGTCGTGACTAAAACTTCCCGCTCCAAGGGCCCTTTCTATCTTACCCATGTGCCTAACTTTGAAGGTAGGGCAATCAGCAGTACCCCCATAGCCCGGGGACCTGTTCAAGGTGAATGTTGCAGAACAAGTTACTTTCATATTAACTGCTTGTGCAGACTGTATAGAATTGGCAACCCATTGAACAGAAGGGCGGTCTCCCCAGTTAGATTGTATAGAATTGGCAAACCCATTGCACAGAAGGACACTCCATGGCTGTGCTGGCAACCGGCCGGTTGGACCGGGCCGGATCCATCCGGGCCAGTTGGACCCCCGGCGATCCAACCGGAATTCCGGTTGGGCCCAAAAGTGGGTCAATTTTTTTTATTTTTTTTTTTGAAAACATGGTTGGACTGCGCTCGCCGAGATCTCCCCGTATCCGCAAAGAAAACTTTG